AAAAAGTAATCCTTATTTTCAAATATAATTGTACAAAGTTTTATTTAATTATTTTAATTTTTTATAAAAGTAAATCAAAGCTAAAAAAGTGCAAAAACGCAGGCAAATTTGCCTGTGTTTTATTACAATCTAAGGGATATAGATATCGAATAAATTGTCATTTTTAATAATCCAAAATTTATGCCAAATCACGTATATGATTGAATCAAAATTATTTCAGATTTATACAATTGCCCGCATGCAATTATCGCAATCGTACATTTTTTCCTGTTTTATTTCAACAAACTTTAGACCTTGATTTAATAATTCTAATATGCTCGCTAGTCAAACCATAAATTCTAAATTCAATCACGATGAAATCATCCCAAATCTATTCATAATAAAATCCACACCCCTAACCTAAGTATATCTGAATTTAGTTAGATGGGTCTATGTTCTGTATTAAAATATTGTAAAGAACCATTCGTATTTCAACAGAATTAAGTTAAACCAATTTCACAAAGTTGCAAAACCGTTAAATAATAATCGATTCTTAAAAATTAACAAACTCAATTGCTGTTAAGCTTGCAGGTTCTGAGGTGACATTTAATATCTTAAATAAAATAAAATAAAAACACATTTTAGGCATAGGCTAAATTCAACAATCTAGCACTTTGCTATGGAACTCTGCTATTACCGCAGTAAGCTAATAAGTAAATGCACATATGTGCATGCATACATAACATATGCGCTAATATTGTTTGCGGCCTTGATATTGTTCTCAAGTAAATTCCAAATTTGAATTACCATATTGTCGCGAAATAACAGGAATGAGAAAATTAAACCCCTCAAAAATTATATATGACTTCAAAATAACGCCCATACGCATTTCCAAATAACATGCATCCTATAATAAAACTCAATAAAGTGCTCTGGAAGTAGGTTTTTTTATACTTAAAAATTTGTATTTGTTTCAAAATAACGTCTATGCGCATGCTCTAAATAACGCATATATACTCAAAATAACGCGCAGGTGGGTATTATTTCGCGACAATACGATACATGTACAATTGCCATTCTTTCAGTAGTATAGATAACTAATCTATTATCATAGTAACTAAGATAATATAAATACTTGATGAATAATTCGTTCAGTGATGAATATATTGTGCAAGGCTGTTTTACTTAATGACCATGGTAATTAGAATTTGAGAAAATGTGGTCTTGGCAATTTACATGCCGGCACCCGCATTTAACCCAATGTTATATACAGTTATCTGAAAAATGACAACATATAGGGAATCCTAATATTGAAATTTTACTTTTGCTTTACAGTTCGATTTGAACAATAAAACTTCATCCACTCATTATTCGCTGAAAAAAAAATGTATTGTATCTAAAATAAAATAAAATAAAAAATAGATAAATAAATAAAAATAAATAAAATAGAATGCAATATAACTTCAATAAAATAACAAACGATATATATATAAGCAAAGAGTATTAAAACAATTTGAGCTCCTTATCTTTCTTCCACCTGCAATAAAACAAATCTTAGTAAAAGAAATTTTAGCAACTAAATGTCAACATACGATCCTGATCAGTTCAATTCTTATAATAACGAGATTGCAGCTTGGTCTAATGAAGATGAATTTCAGTTAAATGAATCAAACGCATCAAACATATCAGAAAATTTAGAAAATTTACATAACTCAGATGCTGAATCAAACTCAAACTCACCCGATCAATCTACATCACGTATTACTGGCGTTACTATTGTCACGGGTTAATTCGGTACCCCGGGATTTCGTGGTGCCGGGTTTGGTCTGGATCGGGATACGTAGATGGCGTGAT